AGTGCATGGCACTGATACACGTGACGTAGGGTACGCCGTTGGTCGTAGGGTCGTTACCGTCTTTGCTGTGGTGTCTACAGTGCGAAATTTCGTAACCCTCCACCTCTTACCAATAATATAGTTGCGTTGGTGCGCGGTGAGGGCCGCGTGTAGTGCTGAACCTCTGCAAGGGCGGGCGATACCGACGGAGAGAACTGTAGCAAGCATATGTTTTGTGTACCTAATAAACTATGGTTTTACGTAATTCATGTGTGGTGTCATATGTGTAAGAATGGCCGGTGTGCATTATTGCTGCTTATATGTGAATATAGTCATATTGAAATCTACTGGAGCCAATCAGTCTAAATTATACTTGTGTTACACGAATTGTGTAATTTTATATTGGTTAAAAACCTGCACACGAGGTAGTAAAAGTATTGCATACTATTTGGTATTTTGGTTAATATTTGACCCGTGACCTCGTGACATAGACCTTTTCCTCACCCAATATGATGCTGATTCATTGTTTAAGTAACATTTCCAATCTTAGACAAAATGCAATTAAATTGAAGAAACATTTCAAAACAATGTTATTTTTCAATTTTGGATGTGATTATAATTTCTCAGGAATTGCGTAAGATCGGTTCATTTATCAGAAATATAGGATCAATGAATTATCCTTTTGCACAACAAGGTATCGTCCGTCTGCACAAAGTCGCCAACCTGTGGGACACTTCAGCAGAAGTATCCGATGCAAAGAAGACGCCGAACGTTTTGAAATATTGGGCACATTTTCAAGTAGTGGATCGATTGTATATATGGGCCACCGTAATAAATAAAGCACATATGCAGCATCCACCGTTCTCAGTAGTTAATACATATGTGAATAATTTAACCATGGAAAAGTATCATTTGACTTCTGATATCATACTGTGCTCAGTTTTTAAAAACATCCCTTTAGTGTTCTTGGTTAAACTGTATCTTGACAATACAGAAATTATAGTGAATATTTTTTAGAAGTATTTTGAATGTTTCTTGTTGAACGCAGAGTGTGAACGTAAGCTGTTAGTGAGCCGTATGGATATCATTCGGGCTGGTTATTGGTTGGTTTAAGATCGTAACAAAATAGCCGCTTCCCAATGCATATCAAACATCACTTCATATGCGTGAGTATATTTTACAAGTTTTACTTAGACAAGTGTCAGTCCATTGTGTGAAAACAAACACGCTTTATCTTGTCGATGCTTAGGCTTAGGAGAAATACAGAACGAAAGGTCACGTGAAATTATGAATTTATGTCATACTTTTGTTCTGTATCAAGATACCTAGGCCAACACTGTTGACTGTTTATGCCCGAGAAAAGTTCGTCTAAAGTATGAATCCCGGCCAATTTCGCCTAAACGGCGCCCCCAATTGTGTCAGAAATATTTATACTAGCTAATACAGACAATTTATATGCATGATTGACTACATTCCGAGGTTAATTAAACATTTAATTAAATATTTGCTCCAATTAATATGATGATACAATTATGAACTAGGCTATGGTTATTATAATGTTAATGCCGCTTTATTTATTGATTGGGATCAATCATTCAGTTAATTTCAATATACAAAGTTGTGCCACACATAAGATATACAACTAGTAGTGTTAATAATTTGATAGCTATTGTGTAGACTGCTAGCGGACAAGTTTGGTAATAGACATAATTGGTATGTTGATAGGAGGGCGCTATATATTAAGACGTACAGTTGCTGATATTTAATCTAAGTTATCAACTAAGTGTGTTTATATCATTTCCAGTACTATTGTCTTGTCTACTCCATTCTAGCAGTGAGAAAACCCTCTCCAGTGTGAGCCTTCTCAATAACAATAAGCAGACTTTACATTGTGACTTAGAGCCAGGAATAGCCATTGGTGGTACTGTAGTTTCGAACTAGTTATAGTGGCCCATAATGCAGAGTTCTAGTATATGCAGCAGCAGCACTTGCTAAACGCGGTGACCTGTTTTGTATGGTGGAAACCGTGAAGCGTAATATTCATAATAGAATATAGGTCGAAAATGTGATTGCGGCGTTCCACAATAAATGCTTTCT